GAGAACCTATGAAATAAAGAATAAGAAGAGGGAGAGAAGAGGGACTTACCTGTAAACCTTAATGCCCTAAGCAAACATTCAGGGTCAAGGCGCCTACACCTTGTGTAAACAACATACCGTCACAAACAGCTGGCTATCGTGCAAAGATAAGGCGGCATCGGCGAGACAGCTTCCTTGCGACTTTCACTGCCGCGCGTCATAATCAGCCATTACCTCGCAGATAACTCAGCACCAAACACACTTTAAACAGGCAATCCAATTAGAAGACGACAGCAGACGCGCCGCTGGTGTCTACTGCGAGTCATGTCCTGTAAAGTCTCGAGCCAAGCAGAAGGCGAGTCACGTGGACTCCAGCCCGTAAGGGGAAACGGACCAACGGCACCCAGTTTGGTCGTCAGTGACTTAATTTCCCGCTGCCAAGTCAACTTCTGTCCACCTCGAGCTTTGCGCCACCCTACACCTGACAGACTAAACAAGGCCCTCCTAGGTAAGCGGCGACCAGGCATATGTAGCACCTGTCTGAGCCAATGCAACCTATTCAGTGCTATCTGTTGTTCTAGGGAGCTAGCATGATTATCACTACCTAGTACTCGCCTACGCACATCATCGTTGCGGACACGCTGGTGCCATCCGACACCAGCAATGCTTCGCAAACAACGATGATCAAAGACTTGAAGGCGCCTCAGATCTTCAGACCGAAGGGGCCAAGTCTCACTACCATACAGCAGAACGGCCCTCACTGTGGCCTTGTATACCCGGCATTTCAGACGGAGGAAAACTCCCTTCTGTCGCAAAAGATGTCGTAGGTTCAAGAAGGTAGCTCTGGCTTTTGCGATGCGTGAGGTTACATCAGCTTCTACGCGCCTACCGTTGCTGATGCAGCTGCCAAGATAAGTGAATTGATCAATCACCTCGAGTTCTTCGTTAGCAAGCGTCAAGGGATCATCAAGTGGCTGGTGGTCCTGCAGCAACACTTTGCACTTTGAAGGTGCGAAATGCATACCAAATAATGGGACTACTCTGGATAGGCTATTCAGAGTTGATTGTGCCGCTCTAACATCGTCGAAAAGCAAGACGATGTCGTCCGCATAATCAAGATCAACTAACCTTTCACCAGGCAGCACTTCAACGCCTACATCGTGAGATTCCGCAAGGAAACACTCCATGATAGAATCCACGACGAAATTGAACAAAATGGGGAAATCGGACAACCCTGACGAACGCCAGTTGTGGTCGGAAAACTATCCGATAGGACACCGTAGACCCTGACGCGGCCTGTAGTGTTCGAGTATAGAGCACGAAGGATGTTCACGTATTTCGTGGGAACACCTTTCCGCGCAAGTATTTCGAACAGAGTGCATCGATTGACTGAATCGAACGCACTCTTGAAATCGAGGAACACAACTATTGTCGGTCTGCGGTATGCGTGGCGCTGCTCTAGCACCTGCCACAAAGTGTATATATGGTCTATACAGCCCGTCTTGGGCGAAAACCGGCCTGCTCTTCCCTAATCCGAGATTCCTGTTCCGCAGTGAGGCGACGAACGATAATCGAAGACAGTAATTTTGTCACAACTGGCGTTAGGCTAATACCCCTGTGGTTAGAACAGTCTGTGCGACTGCCCTTCTTGTATATTGCTACAATTAGCCGGGACACTTTTCCTTCCAGACACATTCGAATAAGGAGGCCAGTGCATTTTACAGAGGACCTCCCCTCCATCCTTAAATAGTGCAGGTGGGAGGGAATCCGGGCTAGCCGCACGAAAACGATTGAGGGCTGGGATCGCGTTTTGGACTTCGGCCTCCGACGGAGGCTCTAAACTAACCGTCCATGGCTCGTCCTGCATCACCTAAATAAGAAGAGGTCCGGGAGCAGGGGGTCAGCTGAACTGATCTTGAAAGTGTTCCGCCCAACGAGCCATACAGCGTTCCTTATTGTGTATCAGCGCACCCGCGCTGTCTCTGATTGTCTCACTGACGTCTGGTTTTCTGGGTCCAGTGGTGCAGAGCTTGCGGTAATTGCCTACTGCTCCTGCCTCCTCCATTTCTTGAAGCCTACTGGTCCAACAACCTTCCTTGTCAGCACATAGGCTCTGCTTTAGTTCACCCCTAATAGCCCGTCTGGTCACATTGTGTTCAGAGCCAGCCGAGAGGTGTCTTCTAGATTCCAACAGATTCACCGACTTCTCGGATATCCAATGACTGGTGCGGTGACGATGGATAGTGCCACAAGCAGATGTTCCTGCGTTGTGCATAGCGGCCGATATCCTATTCCACTGAAGGTCAGTGTCATTAGGATAAGACAGCGGAAGTTCGGTATGCAGTGCTTTTGATAGGACTGCCTGACCGAGGACTGAGACAATTTCTCCGTCGCCAATCGTAGGGGACGCTTGGTGCGCCTCCCGGTAAAGTTCATGGAGAAACGACAGCGTACCAATGCATGATCAGATTCGACACAAGTACTCCAGTACGAGCGGCAATCCAGGATGGAACCACGCCACCTGTAACTTATGGCAATGTGGTCAATTTGGGTCCATCGTTGGCCAGCTACAGGAGGACGCCAAGTGGCACTTCGGCGCTCACTGTGTCCAAAAGCAGTGCTACGAAGAAACAACTGGTGCTTCGTACACACTTGTAGCAGATGTTCACCGTTGTCAGTCCGTTCGGAGTTAAGTCCACAATTACTATCCAGCTGAGCTTCTGAAGACCTCAGACGCCCTACTTGTGCGTTCATATCCCCTGCAAGTACTATAATATCTGAACTAGTAGCACCGCGTAGTAGAGCGTTCAGTTGGTGATAGAATGTATCCTTGACAGCATTAAAACTGCAGTCGGTTGGAGCATAAGTGGAAATCACAAACAAACAGCGTTTTGTACTACTTCGTGAACCAACCTTAGATGATGTTGTCAAACGGGCTGCACATAAACGGCTATTCACCGGAATCCAATCAACCAACCATGGCTTAGCCTTAGAGCTTAGAATGGTATTTACACCAGTTTGACCCGTAAGTGCTGCATCGGCGTCTCTGGATGCGTGCAACCAATAACGAGAGGATAAGCCGGGTGCAGTCAATTCAATAACCCCATTAGGGTCATTGATCCTAGTTTCGGACACACAACACACATCAGTACCAAGTGTGTCCAAGGTGCGTGCGAGTGCAGCCTGTTAACCGGTTCGTCTTAGAGTGCGAACGTTGAACGTCGCCATGAAAACGGGATAGCGTGGCCTTATAAAGGACTTTTGCCGATAGGCGCCCGATAGGTGCGGTGGGATGGTGGCTGCAGATGGTTCCACTCTAGTGGTACTTTGGTTGCTGTCAATTAAGCTGGGAATTATAGAAGGAAGGTTAATAATGGGGGTCGGGGTGGGAGTAAGAGAAACAGGTGGAGGCGCCAGCAGTAGCATGTTTTCGCTTATCTGTCCTGCTGTATGCAGCAGATAAGGCGACCATTGATAATCTGCGCGACGGCCGATGCGGGATGAACTTTAAGTTGGAGGAAAAAGTCATGGTTGTATGTGGGCTGGGATACTGCCAGAGCGCCCAGACCTAGATAGGAGGACGATTAGGGTCCTCATTCAAAGCCTTTGGCTCAAAAGCCTGTCCGCAAGGCAGCGGGGAGGTGGCAATGATTTAGTTTTACAAAAATAGACGCCATCCCATTTCAAACCCCTAACATGGAGGACCAGGAGACTGAGTTTGTCTGACCTCTCACCACTTACCAACCTGGTAGGAGTAGCTCTCAAGGTGCCTGGAAGCATCACCCAGTATAGCTCAATGGGTCAATGAGGTACGCAAACCGTCGCACCACGTTAAGGTCCAGTCTCGTTGCGACGGTCACTATGGTTGTACTGCAGCGAAGTATCAGTTCAGATGTCTGATGTACTGCTGGTGCTGATGAAATTGTCATCCATATTGAAAACAAATTCGTTTCACTCGTGTTTCTCAGAATTATCAGCCGTGTTTGAACGGTTGTGTACGCTTAGATCGGACCAGTAATGATTTTGAAACCAAGTCAGATCATTCCGACGAAAGCATTTGAAATGATCATTTGTGCTTCTATCCATTCCATGGCTGATATCAGCAACCCTCCACAAACACACCGCATCTTTGTATTGACAGTGTCATCCTGAACTGCTGTACAGCGGTGAAATATTTAAGTATTACACTAAGTCGGGATTTCACGCGGTCCCATCATGTGAACGAAATCATTAAAGTCAGGATACGAACGTTCTATGTCTCACGACTTAGGTCTTTATCCGTGCCTCGTTATTTGATCTTACAACTTATCATCGTTCGCGCAACATCGCACAGTACTTATTGCTTATCTGTGATTTTGCTTGGCTTTTGAACGAGCATTTCAAAGTGATCAACAGGTCAATGAAGCAACTTGCGTGATGTAGCGGCATTTCAACGATGGAGTTTACCAACATCATTATGCTTAATCACTTTCACTAATGCGAAAAACTAGCGTCCAACATACTTACTGATGCCAGTCTATAGTGCATTGTCGGAATGTATATCAATTTTCTCGACCAGACAAATATACAAAGTTATCTATGCTCGCACAATGGCTTATGAAACGCCATTTGCTCCCCATTTGACGGTTTTTGAAGGATTAAAGTTAATCAAACAGAAACTGATGATCAAACTGATTCAGTGATATCACATCTGTCACGTTTTCAAAATGCTTATGCACCATAACTGTTTGTTATACTTTTGGTTAATTTTATCACTCTCATTGGTGTGTGTTCGATGTAGCTGAATATCCCTTCGCGGATACCTAAAGCGCAGAGTTGACTGGACTTGACCTGACTTGTGCCGCATGGGAACAAAAGAGATCGTGGCTTACCTATGTGGCCACAAAAGATATGCGTGTCAACAAATAAGGTAAAAATAAAGAAGCACATTCTACTGGTTTCACGACAGGCTGACATCAGTAGCCCGGACTATCTATTAAGCGACCAGCAAGGCGCTCATGAAGAAACCCACAGTGACTCACCTCGCATAAACGATCACCAACTCCGGAATCTGCACTTAAATGACTGTTTTCACGTAAAGCCAAACGGTCAACAGTGTGATCTTGCCCAGATTTGCGCAGAATTGATTTCGATTTTTGAGGCTGTTCGTTTGAAGTGATACACTTTGATTGAGAGGAGTTCCAGGGGAATTCCTCGATGCTCCGTAGTTGAACTGATTTACTTCTCCCATTGGTGGTTGGCCCAGAGCCAGCTTGAGGTGGCGAAGCGAATTCACTCAGACTGGCATCCACTGCACTGATACATCCCTCATCATCCGTTATGGATGTCGGAGATAGAGAGATACCATTCAACTTGGGTGTCAACTGTGAGCATGAGGGAACTATCACACACTCCTGGCCAATGCATCTAGGGCAAAAGAATCGTTCATGCCAAATTGTCACACGATCACCCGGATGAAAATTGACACTAAGGATAAAAAGAAGGGTGGAATGAATAAAAAATCTGTGGTGCGAAAACGTCACAGCCAATAAGATAGTTTGCAAGAGTGGTAAACTCTTCGGAGGATAGCGTAACTTTCCTACCCACAATTAGTGGACTGCATTCATCGCTAATCGTTTAGATCAATGCTGTGACCCGTATACACTGGAAAACTAAATGCAAAAATACCGCAAACTTGAAGAAAAACACATCGAGATTTCAATCGAGATCAAATCATTTGGACAGGGATGGACAGCCGGTTGAACATATAAAACAAATGCACGCAAAGCCTTTGGTTAATTTAAGTTAGTTAATCGATGGAAGTTAGCGAATCGCAGAGCAATAGATACCGTCGCCTTACCGTAGGTCGTCATGACCACAAACAACAAAGACTTCAGCGAGTGAAGGAAAAACCACGACAAAGTATCAGGAAGAATGGAAAAATGTTATAATCGTCAAGTAGAAAGTACGGCATTCGAAGTGAGGATTTGCATGCGCGAATGTCACTGGTTTCTTGGTTGCCTCAAGAAGGTAAGATTTCCAGCTACAGACGTGGTTGAGGTCCAGCCGATACTAGTGCGACCCACTCTCTATCAATTTCCATTCTTCGTCTGTTTATCGATCACTCACGTTGTGCAGTAGCCGGTATATGGATTATGCTAAAGTGGGCTGTCATAGGATGTTCGAGAAAGACCTTATAGAGAGTAAAACCGAGTGGATTTCAAAACGAGTCAGTGAAAGGTCAGTACCTACTGCAGGTATCACGTGACGTAAACCAGTACCAGTTATTTAGTGGGAGAACAGAAGTGCATAGTAGTAAATAAGTGCGACCGGATAGAAAAGAGTGGATGTTGAGGTCCCGCATATGCCACAGATCCATACAGTGACAGTGGTCATGCTGAACCGCTGTGCACGCTAAGAATCACTGAGAGCTGGAATCGCGTCATTTCTATTAGTGCTGAGAAACTGCACAGCTACATTCAATACGTGATGTCCGGACTATGAGATTCGATCACCTGGAGGAGTGAATCGATCAACAACTTCCAGTGTTCGCTGGGTGTCAGTGAAAAGCAGTGGTGTGTCGCCACTGTTCTGTAATAGTGATTCGCAGCTTGGAGGAGTGAATCATGTCACAGCCTTCAGTATGCTGCACTAGTTCATCCAGGAGTGGCTGAATAGCAGCTAGGTCCGACCCTAAAAGAGGTAAGACACCCGCCTATTCGAGGGTTATCGACCGGACACAAGGCAGAACGAGCACTCTAGAGCAGACAAAGGGGATGAGAACATTTATGAAATAGCTGGTCATGGAGTGGAAAAGAAAAAAGGAACTAGATTGTAGGGTTTTGGAGCGCTTGCTGTGTGTCTTGAATTGCGACACACAATCGTGTTGTGGCCTCGGTTGACCTTGAGATCGGCCTCTGCCATTCCGATCAATGAGATGGTATCCGAATTGGAGGGATCCGGTGTTGCTCTCCTCCTCACCACACTGGAGATAATTTGGGTGCACACGTTTGATCATGATGAACACAGAGGGCAGCCACAAGCAGAACTGCGCGTTACCCCGGCCTTGGATCAATGATGTGATTAATGACCGTATATGGGATTTATTGGGGCCGCGAGTCTTGTTTCGTCACAAAATAACCAGTTTACACTAGGCCTCCCAGATAATGACGGTCGTGAGGATAACGATTCACGTGGGTAAGACAATTAAATAAACTATGGTGGAGTAACTAACCATGATGTTCAAGCAAATGACAGAGATTGCAACACAACTATTCAGATTACGTTATTGCTGTAGTAAAGGGTCTATCCGAGCCTCAAGAGCACCTGAAAATAGCATAATGCTGTCACCTGCCATTCAATACTGGGTAAAAAGCATTTGTTTAACAAATCTACACAGTTTCGGGTCTCCTTAAACAAATTCCTGAGCGTCGTCGCGGTATCGGTAATCTTGAACGGTAGCATGATCGATTATCAACAACTGTCGCACGGACCTGATCATTGTTAGTGGTGCGCCCTTTCGAACAAGCTCTGAACCAGTTACCACCCCTGCCTCCCTTACCTCTTCTAGCTCTCTCATCGTAAGTTACATGCTAAATAATTGTAGTGTCGTATCATATTTCTCCACTTTCATCATCATAGATCTGACGTCACGATAGCTATTTTGCATATCTACATCATCTATGAAATCCTCGTGTTATGAGAATGTGATCGCATTTGGGTGATTGGCAACAGGCTATGACCCGTTCGTAGATGACAACGCAGACTACCATAACAAGGACCAACTGATCTGGGAACAGACTTAATTCGTGCGAGAGATGACGACCGCAAAAGTAAAGACTAATTCTGCAATCAAGTTAAGACGCGTATCAGAGGTGACAGAAAAACGGCGTATAAGAAGTGGTAGTGTTAAATACTTTTGCCACCATCAACCATTTTTGTGATTTCACCAGGTGCTCACTCATAATCAAAGGGATATACGTTTGTATCTAAATATTAGCAGTCGAAGTGAAACCACAAAAATGGGGTTAAACAAGCGTGAAGCAAAAAACCTTGAAAATGTTCGCAATTTCGTCCCTGAAACAAGAAACGACCATAGTGAAGAGGCAAAAAATGTGATACAGCCGATTCGGGATACTTGCCCAAGGACTCACTTGCGTCTCTTCGGGGCTGTTTAAAATGGTTTGCGGCACAATAGCCCGAGTGTGTTTAATGACTTCAGCTAAAATGTACTGGTGAGGATTTTTCTGAAATAAATAGTAAGCACACGAGTAACTTTCTAGCGTTCGGCCGATCCGCGAAAACATCAAGAGTTGAATTCGGAGTCGGCAAACCACACTTGGGAGACTCAAACAGCTTCCTCAATTTCCTCAATAATATATAGATTAGTCACATGTGAATGAATTGGGACAAATGAGCTACTTGGACCAAGGATACAAGGAGGTATAATGTTAAAGAGTAATCGACCCAGCTGATTTCTTTCGCTTTTTACCACCTCCGAAAACAATAGTAATTTCAGGTCTCATGATGGGTACAAGTGAGTTAAGTTTGCGTATGCATCGAGATGAACGTGTCACGGTACGTCAGTTTAATCCAAAGGAGATGCCACATGCATGCACACTGCTGGATAGCTGAACGACTTAACTGCAGTTCCGTACAGGAGGACGGTAACCACGTGTTGCACAGTATATCTCCAAAAAGCCTAGAGGAAAATAAGCCGTGTGATTTTCGACCAGAGGTTAACCTAGCTTTTTAGGTAACTTTATTTAGAACACGGCGTTATTTATTCACCGCAGATGATGAGACGGCTGTCAGGATGAAAATGAACACTGTTAGGACGAACATTTCAAGTAGAGTGCCTTCCAAATTGCTATGAACACTCAAGTAGACGATAAAATCCAACCACTAAGAAGCTTCAAGGAGGCGGAAGTGCACTACGAGTCCAGTTACAGACAGCAGAAAAACACTGAAACACTAAACCCATTGAAATCATCTACACTCGGGTTCACGAAGTATCATTGGGAAATCTCTCGTTTGCAACTAGCGCACGCCGCGAGGATTCGATTCGATCAACTCAAACAGACCTGACCACTCCATGGGATAGCATAAACAAAGTAGAAATGATGGTGAGGAGTTTCGGAACTACTTTCTTCCAACACTGCACTTCACAACCGACCGGTTTCGTCCTGATTTGGACTCTTCAGGTGGAGATAGCTTGAGCTGAGACTGAAACCCGACGCGGAGTGATTGTGGACTTGCACCTTGGTCACTAAAACAGACCTCTACGAACAGAGCGTTCAAAAGACCATTGTTGAGTTTTGGAGTACCCGCCTGTACATTAATGATCGTGTTCTAATCGAACCGGGCGAGACAGTTGCAAAACTGAGGCAGTTCACAGGTTTCATGCGTGGATGCCATCGTAAATTCATACATACTACTTCGAGAAGCTACATTCTCTAGTACCCATTCTAGGATTTCCCAGTCGCGGAACCCTCTTAAAGAAAAACCTGTTAAAAACAAGACAGCCATAGCCCAAACATTTTTATAACACGTATAAGTAGGATGATCAATAGGGAATCCAGGACAAGACAGCGTGCCTTGCCCATCTGGGAGGCTATGGAAACGGGAAAAGTAGCTCAGAAAGTGAAAATTAGGTCAAATAACATGGAGGTTGGAAGGATACTGTATTTTAACGGGGGTGGATCTGAAGCGCGTGAAGAAAAGCCTAGTTACTTAGCATTGTTTGTTAACAATTATTGTACGACTGAACAAAGATGGGTTTGCTTAAGTGTCACGTGAGTGCGGGTCACGCAAAGTAACGCGGAAAACGAATCCGATTTTCAATGGGATTTATGAGAATGTTTCCCAACTCCCCCCGAGTACCGTTAACAAGGATAGAGGGCACGGGGCACTGAATGAGACGGAGTAAGGAGGTCAAGAGTACAAATGCAACACTCAGCTTACTGCAGCCACTATTACTAAAATTAGCCGCTGCAGATATTGTAGAAAAATCTACGAGGAGTTACAATTTGGCTAATGGCATTCAGCATCAAGTATCCTTACAAGCAACTAGTAAACGAAAAATATCTATATGAATCCACAGAAATCTAGTGGTGACTATAGTGGCATTTGCTGCACAGTAGGTTGACCCCAGGGAATGTATCCTAGATTCACTTACTTTGTGATGGCATCTTAATAAAAATAGAGCATTGTTGGGTTTCTGGAGTACCCACCGTGCTTTTGGGTTGTGGCACACAGTCTGGCACACATTCTAAGCTAGACAAGGTCGCAAATGAGTGTGAAACAAACGCAGCGTACAAGTCAAATAATCCGATTATGATGGACCAATTGTAGGTACAGCACTGCTTCAGCACTTGACGGACGTCTACCAAGACTTAACCCAGTCTGGCTTCCAGTAATGCTCATTATGTAAGGACTAAATGGTTGCCGCAGTGTGATGCAGATCGGCCGTTTAGCTTAATTACGAT